AGATGCGGGGCTGCAGGGCGGACCTGGGACCGGCACGGCCCGCACGGGCACCTCGGGGTCCGCCTGGCTAAAGCCGTCCGCACGCCTCTCGCCCGAACCTCTCCCGACTCGGGCGTGGCAGCACCGTCCTCCGAGGCGCGCCCGCCGGAACCCTGAGTCGCGCTGGTCCGGCACGGACACCCTCTCGATGTTTCCTGCCTCGACCCAGCTGTCTCAAACCAGTGCGCCCCAGTCCACTCTCCACACCGCGGCGAGTGCTCGTCCCAAAACGGAGACCTACGGCGGCCTCCTCGCAGGAAGCTCTGCAGTGGTTTTCCGTTGCCCGTAGGATAGAGCTCAATCCTCAGCGTGCCCGTCTCGTTTCATCTGACACCGCGGCACCTGCCTCCTGGGCTGCGCTCCTCGCACATCTGCCCCCTTTAGCCCGGTCTGTGCCGGCGGCGCCCCTCGCTTCTAGTCAAGGCGCCCCCACGACCCAGCCTCGCGCCCCCTGTGCAGTCAGCTCCTCACCCAGATCTCAGCTCAGGATCACGGCTGAGGTCAAGCTGTGGGTGATTCTTCCTGGAGAACATGCAGTACAGCAAGGAGAGGGGCTAGAGAAGCAGTTTGATGGGAGAAGTAGGGGTCATGGGTATCAACAAAACCTGAGAACATTTCAAGGTGAAGATGCTGGTCACAGAGACGGAAGGCGAGGGAAGTCCGGATTTAGAAAAGCATTTTCAGTAGAAGGTTGAAGCCTGGAAGTTAGATTCCAGTGGGTTTAGGAGGAAATGGAAAATGAGAAAATTGAGTATGATTTGCTACAAAGGGAAGGAGAAAGATGTAGGGACCATTTTTTTGTTTTGTTTTTATTTTTATTTTTGTTGATTTCAGAAAGGAAGGGAAGAGGGAGAGAGAGACGGAAATATCAGTGATGAGAGAGAACCATTGATCGGCTGCCTCCTGCATGCCCCATCCTGGGGATTGAGCCCTCAACCCCGGGCATGTGCCCTGACTGGGAATCAGACCTCGACCTCCTGGTTCTTAGGTTGATGCTCAACCATTGAGCCACGCCGGCCGGGCTGTAACCAATTCTTCAAATGAAACCAAGTCCCTAGCCGTAGCCCCTTTTTGGCCTATTTGCTAAGTCACCACATAAACAATGGTGCTGTGTTGAAAATGCCAGAGCAGGACTCCTGGGCACCCAGAGGAGGGAGTGAGGGTGAGAGGAGGGATGGATTTGACCCAGGCTCCAAGACTGATCCTGGGAACATGTCGGGGAATGGTGGGACAAGATGAGTGAGGAGGGGAGGGCTTTGAATGCCACAGCAGTGACTTTGGGCCTCATCCTGAAGGCAACCAATAGCCATTTTGAGTAGGAAAGTGAGATAAGGAAAGTGACAGTCTAGTATTAAGAAGAATCATCTGGCTGCACATGTAGGATGGGTTGCAGGGTGGGGAATGTGCAGGAAATGTGAGAGGCCCAAGCAGGTCGTATTAAGACTAGAGCTGCAGGCCCTGGCCGGGTAGTCCAGTGTCAATCTCATACACCAAGGTTGCAGTTCGATCCCCGGTCAGGGCACATACAAGAATCAACCAATGGATGCATCAATAAGTGGAACAACAAATTGCTCTCTCTCAAATCAATAAAAAATAAAATAGAAATAAAATAAATTAATGGGGAAAAAGAGTAGCACTGCCCTACCCAGTTTGGCTCAGTGGATAGAGCGTCCGCCTGTGGACTGAAAGGTCCAGGTTCGATTCTGGTCAAGGGCACATGCCCAGGTTGCGGGCTCAATCCCCAGTGAGGGGCAAGAAGGAGGCAGCCGGTCAATGTTTCTCTCTCATCATTGATGTTTCTCTCCCTCTCCTCCGAAATCAATAAAAATATATTAAATAATTTTTTTTAAAAAAAGAGTAGGCTGCATTGATGGCAGCCAGAAGCGGGTGGAAGGATTTCTTTCAGAAAAGAGCAAGACATGGTCACTGTCTCAGAACAAAGAATTGCTGAAAACCCCACGACCTGGAGCCCAGGAAGCTGGGTGGAGGGAGCGGCCGACTTGAGCATCTGGAAGTGGTGCATGAAGGGAACGAGCGGAGGCCAGAGCTGCCGCCCTTGAGCTCTGCAGCCCTCCCTCCCCCGACCTGTCCCCGCAGAAGCTTTGTACTACACAGATGACACCGCCATGTCCAGGGCCCTCGTGCAGTCCCTGCTGTCCAAGGAGGCTTTCGACGAGGTAGACATGGCTCACAGGTGAGCGGAATGGTCCTGGGGTGAGGCGAACCAGGGGGGCCGAGTTACTGCACCCCTGGACCAGAGCAGTGAAGCCACGCATGCTGGGACCCCCACCCTCAGCAGGGCCACTGCAGCTTCGGGAGCCAGAAATGTCCTCACTGCTGCTACAGGCTCCCGGGTCCCCAGGGCTTCCTCAGCTCCCAACCAGCCGATTTCTCTCCCAACCCTGACAGGCACCTGTGAAGCCTCATCCCATGTCCCTTCCATTCCTAGATTTGCTCAGGAGTACAAAAAAGACCCTGACCGGGGTTACGGAGCTGGAGTCATCACCGTCTTCAAGAAGCTCCTGAGCCCCAAGTGCCGTGACGTCTATGAGCCTGCTCGGGCCCAGTTCAACGGGAAGGGCTCCTATGGCAACGGGGGCGCCATGCGGGTGGCTGGCATCTCCCTGGCCTATAGCAGCATCCACGATGTGCAGAAGGTAGCCTGGGCAGCGGGCTTCTGGGCTGTCCCCTCTCTCCCCCGCCCCCCTCTTCTCTGGGTTCTGTGACAGCAGGTCTTAGCCTCCACTGCCCTTGCCCTAGTTCGCCCGGCTCTCGGCCCAGCTGACACACGCCTCCTCCCTGGGCTACAACGGTGCCATCCTGCAGGCCCTGGCTGTGCATCTGGCTTTGCAGGGAGAGTCGTCCAGTGAGCACTTTCTCAAGCAACTCCTGGGCCACATGGAAGAGCTGGAGAGTGATGCCCAGTCCATCTCGGATGCCAGGGAGTGAGTATGTGCACAGAGGCGGCTGGAGGTGTGTTTGTGAGTGTGCATGCCTGTGGGGTTGAGCCCTTCCTTCTGTAACTGCAGGCCCAAGGGAGGTGGGGGGAGAGTCCTTTGGCGGGGGCTGGGCTTAGGGCAAGGCTCAGGGTCACAC